GGTTCTCAATCCTTTTACCAATGGGAAAAGATTCCCTGACGACTGTATTCAGATCCCTTGGGATTTTGAAGATCTCTTCAAATCTCCTCATAGGAGAGCAGCCACAGGCTGTCCAATCCACTCTTGTAACCAGTGTCCTCAACTCTGCAAACCACCCTTATGAAGTTCTTCTGCGCCTTCTCCAAAACATTCACATCTTTCACTGTGGCAGTGCACACAATTGAAAACAATACTACGCGTTGACGATGAACCAGTGTGTTATCAGAAGCTTAGTCGAACCTCCTTGATTTTGTACTCCAGGCATACATTTATAAAATCCACATCCAAATCTCCTAAAGAATCCACATTAAAAACTGACACTCCCTGAATAAGTAGCACTGTCTTTGTAAGGTTCATCAGCCCCTTCAGTAACCACAGTGCTGCAGGCCTCAACCTCTGATAACTGCTGAATAAAATCCTTTTCCACTTACCTGGTGAGTGATCTTCGAGCTCTGACGTTCAGACAGGAGGCTATATCAGACATGCCAGTGACATGTTTTTGTGGCAATACTGTGTCATGGGTGAACCTGGGTCTTACCAAGGTGTTTTAGGTGGGATGGGGTGATTGGGTTGAGCAAAGAATTGGGAAACCCCCTCCCATCTCACGATTGTAAACCTGAGGCTGTTTCTTTTGTAAACAGAGGGTGAGTAGCAGCCTCTCTGCTCAGTGTATCCACCACTGAACAGCCTCGTTTTTAAGGTCTTGCTCTTTGTTCTAGATGCCGCCCCTTCCCAGCACCTTGAGTAAATAAGTTACCCCTGTTAATTCTTTCAAACCTTTTCCTCATCTTAAACATCTCAATTAAATCATCCTTTAATTTCCTGTACGCACGGGAGTACAAACCCACTCTATGCTACCTGTCCTCATAACGTTATCCAACTAGATCTGATTTCATCCCAATTTATTTCTCCTGATCTTTAAGAATACCTATGCCCTGAGTTCAAAGGTCAGAAAAATCAGCCTCTTCACCCACTTCTCCAGTTGGCCAGTTTGTCCCTGTGGAATTTCTCACATTCTCTGCCTCTCCCATTAAAGGTGCTGACAGCCCGTGGACTACAGGAACTGGCCAGTGACCCAGCCTTTGTGGCAATGACTGTGAGTGAGATGGCAGAAGCTTGCCTGATGGATCACAATGAGCTGGAGAGAGCAGCACTGAACTTGGTGAAAGGCCACTCGATACAGACAGAACCCAAAGAGAGCCTCTTACCTGAAGCTCTGGTGGATCCTCCATCCGGCTGCTGCTGAGCACTTTATCAAAGGATAAGCTGAGGCTAGGGAGTAATGCTCCATCGCCACAGCTGAGTTACCGTCTAGTTTACTTTTTGTGTTTTTGGAAATCTGTAACTGTCCCCAAGAGGTGTGAGATAATATGTTTGAGAATGTATGAGATTTCAGATGCTGCCAGAATACTGTATGGAAGCACAGGACACAACAGGAGAGAATAGAATTCTCCACTGTTACTGTGACATAATCAGGCCATGTTGGCTATGTTTCTACTTCAGTCATACACAAGTGTGGTATCATTACTTATGTACATCAGTGTGGAAAAGGCTCATTAAACACCCAGTGGCTGACAAGATCTTATGGACTTTTGTGTTTGCAGGAGTTCAGACACATTGTTCAAAAGCCACTAGCTCATTAAATAGTCTTAACCATTTTACCCAGATCTGTATGTTCAGGTGGGAGTAACAGTACTATATTTGGGTGAACACAACACATCTTCTGGTGTCTGCAGAATCTGGCTAGTGCGTGATGTGTGGGTAATCATAGCCTGTATGATTGAACACACAATTGAACATTATTTGGGAACATCATTGGAATTTGACCAAAATCTCCCTTGGCAAGAGGAGTAAGCCATTCAGTTCCTTGAGCATGTTTACACCATTTAGTCAGATTGTATCTGCTGTTAACTCTGACCTGTTTTCACCTAACTTAATACTCTTGCCTCTAAATTTTAGTTTTGAATTCCTTACTTTACCATAACCTCAGCAGACTTTCTGGGGAGAGTGTTTCAGATTTCCAAAACCCCTTGTGTGTATGTGAAGGAGTGATTCCTGCCCTTATCGCTGAGGGGCCTAGTTGTAATTCTAACATCTGGGCACCCCAGCACTGGCTCTACACATGCCTGACCAACATCCCATAATCCACTTTCGGTAAACCCGAGCCTCGATCTCATCAAATTCTGTTCACCATCGCTCCTGTGCTAAACATTCTCATTCTTGTGTTCAAATCCCTCCTCAGTCTCACCCATCCTGATCCCTGTAACTTACCCCAGCCCTCTGATCCCCGATGCCTCTACACTAACTTAATTGCACTCCATCCTCTGCCTTAGAAATGAAAGGCACCAGGAACAATAAATGCTTAGATTGGAGCCTACAACTTTCTCAGAGCTTATCCCCGTGGCTGAAAACTTGCAGAAGCCGTGACACCATTTGGAGCTTGTCAGGCTTGAATACCATGAATTGTTACTCTGATCCACCAGGTGCGGACTGAGGAGTCACCATCAATGTCACTTAAAGGCATTATAACAAGGAAGGTTTAAAATGCATCTTCGTGCAGTTGCCACTGCAGTTTGAGCCATAAAACTTTCAGCTTTAACATCCATGTTGCTTTAAGTTCTACGTTCTTGCAACTGTTACTTTGAAGACTCCTGTCTTTTCATTCCTTTTGCCCTCTAAGCCCTCTGTGTCCCACTCAATTTCCCCGCTCCAGGTCATTGAGTGGTTCAGTGAAGGGGAGAGGTATTTCACACTGACCAAATTCTCATGACAGCCCATACCCTCACAATCTCCTCCAGGCAGTCACTGGGCAAACTCCACACATCGCCAAGTATAGATGTCGCTCCTGGAACACTTCACTTTCAGAAGTGACCAGTGTTTCAATTCTTGTGGTGTTAGACTGTGATTACAACATTACACGTCTTCATTCTAACTAAACCAATATTACCGACAAATGCAGCAAAGATGTGATCCTAAGAAGGGAGGTTTATGCTGTGGTGTTAGTATCATCCTGGATACTGACACACACTTCTCAATGTCTCCAAACCACACCCTCTGCGTGTGTTCACATTACTCTTAAAGGGTCTCTGCATTAAATGACGAACAAAGGAAACATGTGCCAGCAAGAGTGAGGGAGGGGAGTGATTCTATGTGTGTCTTTGTGTGTGTCGGTGTGTGTGTGTTGAGAGGAGGCTTTCTGGATTATTGCGTAGCTCTCCAGCAGGAGTGTGCATGGAGGGCAGTTACATGGAGGCCTTGTCACCATTTACCAAGCAGCCTAATCACAAGTGAACTCTTGCTAAGCAAGCCGCCTTTAGAGGACAACGTTCAGACCCAGTCCAGGCAGAATCCCTCAGGTAGGGAAAAGGGGCATGACGAAAGCCCAAACTCCTGGATGATTAAGGAGAATGGAAAAGGACAACATTACAGGAAAGAAACACATGAATAAATTGGTGACAAATAGAAAAGGGAATCCAAAGGCTTTGATTGGATATATTATCAGGAAACAAGTTCTCAAAGGAAGTGTGGAGACCAAAATGGAGATCTCTTATTAGAGACAGAGGACATGACTCAGGTACTGAATGGACATGTTATATCAGTTTACCCCTGCCAAAGACTGAATTCTGTTCTGTCAACTCTCAGACTAATATTTGTAAATTTGCCAACATTTATATAGTAGCAAAAGCAAATTACTGTGGATGTTGGAGATACTTAAAATCCTTACAGCATGGAAGCAGGTCATTCAGCTCAACAAATCCTCACCAACCCTCTGCAGAACATCCCACCCTGACCCATCCCCCTAACCGTGCATTTCCCATGGCTAACCCACCTAATCTACACATCCCTGAACACTATATGGGTAATTTAACTTGGTCAATCCATTTAACCTGCACATCTTTGGACTGTGGGAGGAAACTGGAGCGCCCAGAGGAAACCCACGCAGACACAGGGAGAATGTGCAAACTCCACACAGACAGTCACCTGAGGGTAGGATCGAACACGGGTCCCTGGCGCTGTGAGGCAGCAGTGCTAACCACTGTGTCACCCAAGATCTTGAATAAAATCAGAACGTACTGGAGAAACTCAGCAAATGAAGTACTTCTGGGTGAAAAATATTTTCCTCAGATTGCCCCATGCCCCCTCCTCTAAATCACTCATTCCTCATCTTAAAACTTATGCCCTCCAGTCTTAGGCACATCTGCTATGGAGAAATGATTCTCATGATCTACTCTGCCCATGCCCCTCATAATTTTATATACCTCAATCTGATCCCCTGCCTCAGCCTTCTCTGCACCAGGGAATACCCAGCCTATCCAGTCTCTCCTCATGACTGAGATTTTCCATCCAAGGCAATATCCTGGTGAATCTCCTCTTGCACCTTCTCCAGTGCAATAATGTCCTTACACAGAATGGTGACCAGAACTGCACACAGCATTCCATGTGTGGCCTAACCAGTGCTTTATAAAGTTGTAACAAGCCTTCCTTGCTCCTATATTCTAACCCACAGCTAATGAAGGCAAGCATCCGTATGCCTTCTTCCCCACCCTGTCTACCTGTGCTGACACCCTCAGGGATCTATTGACTTGTACACCAAGGTCCTTTGTTCCTCCTCTCTTCCCTTCCTTGACATCTGTGTTTCTATTTCTGGAGACAGACTGGCACCAATATTCACTACAAACCCACCGACTCCCACAGTTACCTTTACTATACATCCTCACACCTTGCTTCCTGTAAAGACTCTATTCCATTCTCCCATTTCCTCCATCTCTGTTGCATCTTTTCCAGCTTTGACAAGGGGGCCTCCAGAATGTCCACCTTCTTCCTCAACCAAGGATTCTCCACCACTGTGGTTGACAGGACCCTTATCTGTGTCTGACCCATCTCCCATGCTTTGGCCCTCCCCCAGTAACAACAGGGTCCCCCTTGGCCTCACCTACCATCCCACCAGCATCCACATCCAAAGGATCATTAGCTGCCATTTCTGCCACCACCATACACGTATTCCCATCCCCTCCCTTGTCAGCCTTCCACAGGGACTGTTCCCTCCAGGAATGTTGGTGTCCACTCCTCCACTCCCAGTACCCCCATGGCATCTTCCCATGCAAACACAGAAGGTGTAATAACTGCCCATTTACTTCCTCCCTCCTCACTATCCAAGACCACAGACACATCTTCCTGGTGAAGCAGCAGTTTACCTCACTCCACTCAATCTAGTGATCTGTATTTGCTGCTCACAATGTGGTCTCCTCTACATACAATCCCTACAATGTGGAAGCAGGCAATTTAGCCCATTGAGTCCACATCAACTCTCCAGAGAACATCCTCCCTACATCCAACCTCTACCCTTTCCCTGTAACCCTGCATTTCCTGTGGCTAATCCTCAGAGCCTGCACATCTCTAAACACTATGGGCAATTTAGCATGGCCAATTCATAATCTGTACATCTTTGGACTGTGGGAGGAAATCCACGCAGACACGGGGAGAATATGCAAACTGCACACAGTGGCCTGTGGATGGAATTCAATCCGGATACCTGGCTTGTGAGGTAGTAGTGCTAACCACTGAACCACCGTGCCACACACATTGGGGAGATGAACGCAGACTAGGTGACTGCTTTGCAGAAACCCTGTGATCTGTCCGCAAAATGACCCTGAACTTCTGGTTGTCTGCCATTTCAATACACTACCTTTTTCCCTGGCCAGCATCTCTGTCTCAGGCTTGCTCCAGCAAAGCTCAGCTTTGGAAGAAAAGCACCTCATTTTCCGCTTGGGAACTCTGCAGCCTTCTGGACTCAAGTTCAATAATTTTGGGGCCTGATCACCTTCTCCCATCTCCTCACCCTCATCCCCACACACCAGTCATCACATGGACTGCTACAACTAACAACTCATTGTCAGCTACTAATGATCCTCTCTAGTAGCTATTCATTCTCCCAGGCTGACCTTTACCCAGTGCTTTGTCTGCCCAACTGTGTTTCTCTCTATCTAGGCTCCATCTTCACCTTTAGTTTACTCTTGTCCCCCTTCCCGCACCCCTTCTCTAGCATATATACCAACCTTTTGCCAGCTACAATCAGTTCTGAAGATCAGTCACTGGACCCAAAATGTTACCTTTGCCTTTTCTCCACGGATGCTGCCAGACCTGCTGAGATTTTCCAGCAATTTCTGATTTTGTTTCTGATTTCCAGCATTCACAGTTCATTGTGTTTTTATTTTCCCCAAATTCTTGTGTCACCTAAAAAATTTA